CTAGCTCCTACAGGTAAATTGTATAAGATTTCTAGTCATACAGTCAAGGAATTTTTATTAGAAATAGCTTGTTTTTCCAAAATGACATTTTTGCTTTTTTTTTACCCTCAAACTACAATATTTCAAGTTGCTCTGCATCCTTGCCAGAAATTGGTATCATCAGCCCTTTTAATTGATTTTATCAGTTTGTGGTATTATCTCAGTATGGTTCAAATGTGCTTTACCCCCTGACAAATGGCTTGGAACATGTTGTTTGCCATGGTCATGCCCTCTCTCATGAAGCTCCTGTTTAATCTTTTACCTTAATTTTTTTCCTTCTTATTGAGACACAAGATATATTGTGACACACACACACACATATATATATATATATATGTCAATTCTTTTGCAAGTATTTTTTCTAGTATATGAGATATCTTTCTTCATTTTCAGAACAGTGTCATTAAAGAACAGAAACATTACATTTTGACCAAGCACAATTTATCAATACTTCCTTTTCTAGTGGCATATGTGTTTATGTGTGTGTATGTGAATGTATTATGTATGTGTGTATATCTATGTGTGAATGTGTGTGTGTGTATGTTGATTTGGTGGGTTTATTGGGTTTTGGTTATTTTCTTTTGTCCTGAAATAGGTTCTTTACAACCTCCCCCCTTCCCAGCTTCATTGTGTAAAGGCTTGTATTAAATATATTATGGAGTTTCGGGCTACAAATTTTGTATGAAGGTTGGAGAGATGGCTTGGCAGTTATGAGTGCTTGCTGCTCTTCCAGAGGTCTTGAGTCGGTCCTAGCACCTGCGTCCTCAGGTGGTAGACAAGCACCTGTACTCTGACAATCCCTTCTACATTCCATGGTCACCTGCACAGACTCACACAAAGACACGCATACACATGTAACAGAAAATAAGATATGTCTTTTAAAAATGTTATTTAAGAGTCTAAAGGGAGCTGGCGAAGTAAGAGTTCTTCTTGACAGTCTTAATTCACTGGTGTTGGGTCAGCCCATTTTATTCTCTGTACAATGCAGGTAATCACACTCTACACGGAGCTACTTCATGTAGAGGTTGAGAAATCCTGTAGAGGAGACCAAGACATCTCAAGTATAAGTGTGATCATTACTAATTATGCTAATTTTTAATTAAGACTGCTCCCCTCCAAATAAAGACTGCTCCAAAAAATTCCAGAGACAACATCAGCAAGAAGAGGTCCATTGATTTGTATTGTTGTGCATATATATTAATCATAATTATCACTTCAGCAGTCTAGGTGGTTCACTTCATGGGTGTTTATTCCATTAGTGATCCTTTATGTGCTATTCTAGCAATGAAGAGTGTATGTTATAGGCCACCACCCTTCTGTGATGAAATGTCATTATTTTGTGTGGTTTGTAATTCCTCTCCTAAGGGAGAGTCATGGTTTCAACATATAGCATGCTAGCTTAAAACCAGGACTGGGAGAAAATGAGTTGAGTTCAAACGCCAGATTTCTTTTGCATCCTGTGAGCAGGTGTCTGAAATGGAAGCAGTCACCGGAAGTGAGAAGGTCATTTCATAAAGCAAATCATTTCTCTTGTAGGAGTTCTTCCTGCCTCCCCACGGTCTAACAATTCATTTGTCTCTTGTGTTTTCTGAGAGTTGTCAGTTGGGTCTAGGTTGAATCATATTGGGACAGATTTCCTCAACACACATAGCAGTATGTATTTCTGTTAGAAGGTATGTGGTTGGCTCTCTTTCATTGTTACTTCAATACTCCCTGGATTATTGTTATTTGGATTCATTAATTCATTACAGGATGTCAAATGGTGGAATCCTATCATGTTTTAGCAGAAATGCATCTCTGAGAGGGAATTTCCTCTCACCTCATGATTTCTCGGTGATAAAATTTACATAGGAAAGACTGGATGAATGCATGGCTTTTCATAAATATTATTGAAGTATTCTCACCCTCTTAAGTTATTTCATCAGATTTTTTATTTGGTTTTATGACCCCAGAAATTTGCCTCATCTTATTTGAATTGCGCAGCGCTGGTTCTCAGATTGCCCTGCACTCAGCTAGTGGCAGTGTCTTCCCGACGATGCTTGAGTCTTTCTGACGCAACATCCTCTGCTGATTTCCTAGGGGTGCTGCAGTGGACAAACACAAATTCAAATCGAGGGACTCAAAGCAGCAGCAATGGATTGCCTTCAGTTCTGGCAAGATGTCCCAAGTCAGGATGCTGGTAGGGGTTCTCAGAGTGAGGTTCTCAAGATCCTAGAACATAGAACATGAGGCTGTTCTGTAGAGAGGAAGCCTCTACTGTTCCCCTCACTCTGGCCATCCCAGCTATCCTTGATTTCCTCAGATATTTCTGTAACGCTCCGGTCTCTATCTCCGTCATTGTGTGATGACCTCTCTCTCTGAGCCTAGCTCGGAGACTCAGTTTCTCTTCCTTCAAGAATCCAGTCACTGCATTAGGGCTCACCGAAGATATCATTATTGATCATCTATAATTATTGATGCTACTTCCTAAAAAGGTCACACTCATAGGCACCAGGCATTAGATCTTAAATACATTTGAAGAGAACAACATTCAACCCTCAACACCTGCTGTATTGTAAGGCTAAATGGTGCACTCGCTTTAAAATTTTTCGTTAAGATGAAGAATCAACCTTTTTAAGCTGGAAGTGATATTTAGGGGCCTCACTTGAAAACTAAGAAAAACAGATTAAGTAGTTATTACTTCTAGGCCTTTCCAAAGGACAGATAGCAGAAACGAGCTTATTTCCTACAGATAAAACACACTGTAAATTCAGAACTCACTTCAAGTTCAAATTCAAGGTTCCAGAACATAATCCCATGAAACTATCATAATTACTCTGGCTGAACAAAGTCCTGCTTCTCAACGACACAGTTCTTTTATTTTAGTCCATAGCCAAGGCACAGGCGAAAGTCTCAGAATAACAAAAGAATATATATCACTGATACGATTACTGCAAACGGTTTAAGATCTTAAAAGTATTGTTGCAATCCTTTTCCCTCTTTGGCATGCTTGATGCCCTTCAGCTTCTTTACATGTAGCTATGTCACCATATCTGGGGCAGTCAGGGTCACTGATTTTCATTTATCTGAAGAATATACTTCATTCATTTGGGATATTTGCATGCATGTATGGCTATTTACCACGTGCATGGTCTGTGCCTGGTGAGGTTTGAAAAGGTTTCCAGACCCCCTGGACCTGGACAGCCATCCAGTTGTGAGCTACCATGTAGAGGCTGTGAATCAAACCTGGGTTCTCTACAAGAGTAGCCAGGGCTCATAACTACTGAGCCATCTCCCCAGACCTTATTTCTAATTTTTGAATATTTTTAAGAGACACTATTTTTAAATTTACAGAAAAACTGATGAAAAGATACAGGAATTTTGACTACATCCCCTGTCCCTACCCATGCACAGCATCTCTTGTCATCAGCACCCCTCCCACGGTGGTAAACTGGTGACTTCATCAGTGACGGCCATTGTCACCCACCACAGCTCACATTAGTGGAGATCCTTGTGGTATGCCTTCCACAACCATGAACAAATGCGTAAAGACATGTATCCAGGCAACCGATAGTTTTAGGTTTACAGGATTTCTAAGGGGTGGGGGTTGAGATAGGGTCTCATTATGTAACTGGCTAGCCTGGAACTCACTATGTAGACCAGTCTAGCCTTGAACTCACAGAGATCTACCTGCCTCTGCAGGTAGAATGTTGGAATTAAACGTGTGCCCCACCACACCTGGATGGAGCTGGTATTTTTAGACATTTGGTCTTACTGTTTTTACTTTATATGTGTGTTTGAATGTGTGTAACGTGTGCAAGAGCCCTCAGGAGCTAGTACATGGTGATAGTTTCCTTTGGAACTGGAGTTACAGATGGTTCTGAGCTACATTTATAGGTGCTGGGAACCGAACTTGGGTCACCAAGCCCAGCTGTGGAGTCTTTCATCTCAAAAGGCTGTTGGATTGTATCAAATACTCTTCTGTGTCTATTGAGATACTCGTGTAGCCTCTTTTCTAGGTTTGTTTGTTTTGTTCTACTAATGTGGTACATTACAGTATTTCATTTTCAGCTGGTAAGCCGACCTTGCATTGTTATGGTAAACTCTACTTTGTTATGTTGTATACTTTATATATATAGTCAGGTTTTGTTTTTAGTATTTGCTGAGAAATTGGTGTGTTTATATTCACAAGATGTACTGGTTGATATTTTATTTTCTTGTGAGATCTTTCTTTGGCTTTGGAGTTAATGGAGTCATAGCATCACAGAATGAACTGGGAATTATTCTCTTGTCTCCCATCATCTAGAAGTAACTTTCCACTTCACACTATACAAAGAGATGGGCATAATTTTGGTCTTCTCAGTTTTTAAAAAATCGTTATTTTTGTGTGTGCACAGTTGTGTGTGTGGATGTGTGTGTTGTGTGTGTTGTGTGTGTGGGGGAGTATGTATCTGTCTGTGTCATGGTACATGTGAGATCGGATGGCAACTGTGGAAGTCAATTCTCACTTTCTATCAAGTGGTACCCAAGGATTGAACGCAGGTCAGCAGACTTGGTAGCAAAGCACCTTTACGCGCGGAGCCATGCCATCTGCCCCATCTTCTCACTTCTTACAGTTCTGTGGTACTTCATTGAGTAGATGTGCCTGTGTTTGTTCGGCCAGACTCCTATTTGAATTGCTTTCTGTCCTTGGCTATTAAAACTTAAACTGCACTGAATTATCCTAATAATGAGCGCCTCATATTTTTGTCTGTATTTCTGTAATATAGATTCCCAAACGTAAGATTAATGAGTTAAAGAGTAAACACATGTGGAACACATTTGAAATTGTCCAATTTTGCTCTGTAACTATTAAACCATTTTGAAACTTTTTTTAAAAAAGCCACTATTTATACAGTCTTCAACATCAAACTACTTTGCACAATTTTTTTGTCACCGTGGTAGCCATATTTCCTGAAAATGGTTGATTGACAGTTTTTTACCTTACAGCATTCCATTATACACGAGTTTCAGCCTGCTGAACCGTCCACATCTTTAGGTTATTCATTTGTAAAGTAACTGAGCGTTGTCTTGTTTCTTGAGGATGTGCTATTTAAGGGTCTTGAAACGCTTCACAGTTGACGGAGGAAGCACATTTTCCCCAGCTGGACATTTGGCTTTGCACCATGCTTGTGGCTTTTTTTTTTTCTTTCTCTGCAAAAAAAAAAAAATTGATTTTTAATTTTTGTAATCAATCCTCTTGACTTCATTTCTGAGTAGAGGGCAAGCAGGGGAATTATTTAGAAAGAAGAATTTTGATTCTGATTTGGAGGAGCCCCAGTTCAAGAACATCACTAAGGCCTTAATCTTGTGGCTTCTCTCAAAGCCACTGACACTTCTTTGCCTCCATCACCAGTATCAGCACAATCACTATCAGATAAATAAATCGCAGATTTCAAAGTCGCCTCTTCTAACTTAGAGACAGTTTTCCTGTCCGTCTTTGTTGGCCTGGGGGGGGGGGGGGGGGGGGGCATGAAGTGATGAGGTGAGAATCCAGGCAGGAAGAAGGACCTGACCAGAAAAATCCCTCGGGTAAAACCAGGTTTCTCCTGGCCTTACAAAAATATGACTGACATATAGATATGCTTCTAAAATCCATGCTGTAAATAGTTTTTTTCTCTAACTATCAACTGTTATATCTGGCCTTCTGTCTTCCATTCAGGTTTCCGAGGACCACTGGGGACACCACAGCAACACTGGGTGGTGGCATCATCCATTGCTGTCTCTAGTCGTAGCTCATCCGCAAAACCCCCACTATGCCTTCATAGCCTTCTCTTAGAGATGCCTCATGCCATTCACCAAGACTTTTGCAGAACTCTCTTGGCATCTTTAAAGGACCTGCATGGCGATTTCTGCACCATGGATAGTACTGTATTTGTTTTTCGTTTGGCCTAAAGGCTGTAGAAACCCTACCTACTCACTATATAAAGTTCACAGGAGTCTGGAGTTCCCAGGCTTCGTGCTCTCTGGTTCCTTGGCAAGGTAGCTCAATTCTATTCATTTCACACTTTTCAATTTAAACCTTATTTTTTTTTTTAAAGATGGGGTCTCACTATGTAGCTGTTGTCTTGGCTGTCCTAAAACTTGCTATGTAGCCCAGGCTGTCCTCAAAGTCAGAGATTATCCCTCCTCTGTCTCCCAAGGGCTGGGATTAAAGGCACACAACACCATACCCAGAAAAATTTAAATTATTCTTTTAAAAAGCAAGTACTTGAAACAGAGTTTCAAACACTCAGTAACATACTAGTAATGTCTTCCTACCACCTGGCTTTAACGTAAATGTCTAAAATACATGTTTTTAAATTAACTGCAAAGATTTACTGAGAGCGACTTTCTGCGAGAGACAGAGTCCTATAGCATGATATATAAGGGCTGGCACACACCGAAGTATAGATATACAATGCTTTCCATGTAGGTTTTAACAGATGAGAATGGATCGCCTACTTTCTTGTGATTGTTTTCCTTACTCCCGTTATTTGGTGGCTGTCCTATACCTCTGCAGAGTTTGTCTTCTGCCTTCATTTCATGGCTTACAATAGGGGATACATGGGACATAATTTCAATGTTTAATTGGCCCCAAACATGCAGTTGGTCTGGGAACATTGTTGTCGGTACTCAGAACACAGAGAAAGGGTCTTGTGTCTGGTTATAATTTAGAAGGGGTCCCGTTAACTTTAACACAGCCCTCGCTACCGGGTTGTGCTGAACCTCCAGGAATTTGAATTTTTATCTCTACAGAGAAGTTGAAAGAGCCAGAGTGTAAAAGCTGCAAGCAGGTTACAATCCTGACAAATTAGTTTCTAATTATTTTGCCCCAGGCTCTGCCCATGTTGCATGCAGAGAAGTTTTTACCAGGACACTTTGGAGAGTTTTGTTGCCTAAACCCATTTAATTTAAAACAAATGGGCCCATGTGATTATCTCAACCACAAATACGTAACACAATGTGTAATATATTTAAAAGGCAAGAGGAAATTTGGTAATGGAATTTTAAAACTGTTTGAAAGGAAGAAACTTTGGGGAGAAAGAAAGGAAGAGGGGACTGGTGACGCCAGTTTGATTGTTTTCAAACACCACCACAGCTGGACTTGAATTTGTACAATAAGAGAGCATGAAGCTATAAAGGATGCCGGCAGGAATCTAAGTGCTGGGATGCCACATGGAAAAATAAAGGGCAAGGCTTCAGATGCCCAGGGAACTGCAAAATTCCCCCACTCTCCATACGCTTCATTTTTCGTGGGGTCAATTTTCTGTCCAGGAAATGTCCAGGTAGGATCTTTCCACCTCCGGCTTGGATGGCGAAGGCTCATGCTGTGCTTCTCACTCGCTGCTTCTGTGCTCTGTGGCTTCCTAGCAGGTCTGTTTGCCATAGAGAGCAAATCCTAAAGTATTGATAAGACACCAAGCCTCACCAAACTCTTCGTATATCCCAGACATTATTCTAAGCACCCCGAGTCGTCTCATTTCATCCACAGAAACCCAGTGACACTGGTACTCCTGGAATCCTACTCTTGCAGAGAGGACTAGAGCAGACTGCCGAAGGTAGAGGCATAGGGAATCTCATTCTTCACCATTACACGATCTGTCCTTCCTGGCGCGCTAGCTGTCCTACGAGTGCGTTAGGTAGTGAATGGACTTTCAAAGGCCAGCCGCTCCTGAATGAGTGTGCAGGACTTAGTGTTTCAGAACTATGTAAAAAGCCGGGTCCTTACAAAGTGTGACAACTGGCATTTAAATAATTCTTTTATATGTGTGAAGTTTGGCCTGCGGATGTAGCTCAGCTGGTAGGGCACTTGGCTAGCATCTCTGAAGCCCGAGGTTTAATTCCCCATGTTGTATGAACTAGGTGTGGTGGTGCCTAACTCTAACCCCAACATTCGGGTGGTAGAGGCAGAAGGACCAGAAGTTCAAGGTTACTGACTAAGACCTATTTTAAAACTACGTCAGACCCTATCTTAAAAACATGCGTGCTGTGTAATACATCTGTCACCAGCAAAGTAATGGATTCATTAGGTAAAATACATGAAACTACCCATCTTTTGATGTATATAAAGTCCCGCTTTGTGCAGGACTATATATATCTAAAAATTTCACTACTGATTAAAAGAAAAATGAGATTTCTTAGAGCTCTAGCCATTTGTCCGTCCAGTCTGCAATATTCACTAAGGGTTAACCGAACTCAAACCTACATCAGTCCTAGGGGCACAAGCCACACACATGAATCTTGCCCTCCAGAAATTCTGTCTTCAACAGAAGACAGACAAACATAAAAACAGTTGCCATTAGCATCAGATTAATGCAGTCCTGGAGTTCTGAATAAAATATCTGGGGATCCTGAAGAAAGGATGTGCGCAGAAGCCTGGCTGGAGAAGGCAGGGTGGTCTTCACACAGGAGGCGGGGCTGAGTGAAGCTCACGCTCTGCCTGCAGACAATGTGAGACGGCGTCCAAGGGACAGAACTTCGGAGGCTAAGGAACGGCACATGCGTGTTTTGGGGGTAGCCGTGCAGACGAGGCAGAACTGCGGACGTGTTACTTAATGTCACGGGTATGCTGAGAAATGCGTCATTAGACAATTTCATCATCGCAGGACGGTTGCACAGCTATTATAAACACACGATCCATGTGGCTGCTGCCGACTGGCCTTCTGCATGACAGCGACACCGTTCTTCATTAAGCAGAAGCCGGGGGCTCTAAAGTAACAGAGAATCATCTGGTACAGGAAATACATAAGCCAGGACCATAAGCATTTGCCGTCACATCCCGCTGTGTTCTTTTAAATGGCAATCGCAGAGGGTCGTGGATACGCATGCTGTTGCTGATGCGCGGATGAGGCGTTGCCCTGTTCAGTTGCAATGGCTATGGTGGTGTTGGGTAGTTGGAAATTTTAAGCTTGATTTTAATCTTCAGGGGCCACCATCACATACAGTACTCACTCTGAGCCAAGCTGTCCTTATGCACCAATGACACACAGCTATCCAGGCATGTCACTGAAAAGCTCTATGTCTTAGGACAAGTTACTTTTCTCAATGCCAGTGTTCTAATTTGAAAAGTGGAGAAAACAATAATGACCTCATAAAATGATCGGGAAGACGAGCCACACATAGCATCTGTTAAAAGCCCAACAAAATGGTGTGTAGAAGCACCTAGCACATGGTGGCTACTTTTAGACTTGTTTTTTTTTTTTTTTTTTTTTTATTTCACTTCCCTGTTGACCAGCACATCCATCTCTGGGTCATGATCAGGGAGGTTTCAGGTAGTTCTCATGAGAGCAGTGGATCATGGGTTGTGGCTGGGTGCTGGTATTCTTGCCTTGGTAGGAGATCTGTGACTTTTAAGAGCCTGCGGCTTTTTGTCAGGCCACAGCGTGGTACGGAATTTTCCCAGAAGTCTGTGATATCTGCTTGTCATCTTGCAAGTGTGTTTGTGAGTTTCGAGAACAAACTTGTCAGCACACAAAAGTTCCCAGATGGCTTCCTTGAGGACTTTTGAACTCTGCCGTCTTTGATTTGAAAGTTCCCAAGAGATCTAAGAGCAGATTGCGCATTGCATCCATAAACGTGGCCATGCAAAATTGAGCAAATCATTGGCTCAGTTCAGCCCATCTCTTCACTACAGATCTCAACATCACATCTGACGCCGTTGACTGAGCCATGATCCCAGCCTTGCGAGCTCTGCAAACTCCTCAGCAGAGTCTCAGCCAAGAGTAGCCTGATTCTGAGTGGCGGTCACCACCTCAAATACACAACCTCATTATAAAACCCTACCTGGGAAGTGGGTGCCATGCTGGTCCTCTTCCACTTCATCGTCGTGATCTTTGAGTGGTTTTATTAGCTTCGCCCACAGTTGTAATGGATTTGAGATGGCATTTAAGAGCTGCAAATACCATGGTCCCGGGCCACAAGCACCCAGTAAAGTCAGCCGTATTAAATAAGGCTTACTGTAACATGCCTCCCTGGCCGACTTTCTACAAAGAGAAGCTAAAAGGAAGAGTACCCACACTTTTGCATGTGGACCAGTAACCACAAGAGGGGAGAAAGACTCCAAGTCTTTACATCTGGGGTACAACAAAAAGTAGAGCTAGGTTATGCGGGGCTCTCTTATCAAAACACCAGGGGCCCTGTTTTCAAAATGGCGGACACTACAAAACCTGGGTGGAAGTTCCTCTTGAGAGACTGAAGCTGCTTGTTGTGTTACTTTTGTTTCCATTTGTTTGTTTGTTGTTGTTGTTTTTAATCTCTAGGCAAGATTCACATTGCCCTATTGTCCAAAGGGTTAACTGCAGATTCATTGTGAGGTGAAATGTATTCAGTTGTTCAAATCCTTCCCCTGCCAGCTGTGTTCTGGATAACCTTAGTGCCATCTGACGCAATAAATAGCAAAGCAGTTGGGGTAAATCCAGTTGTTTCTTCCTTTCTTTTTTTTTTCCCACAGCATCTTTCTTTGTAAGTATGTCAGATTTTTAAAAAATGAGGCTCCATAAACCACATCATCACAGAGTCCTGTTGTCCTCCCATGAGGGGATTGTCGTTCCAAACGCTTGCCTTTTTGGCTCTTGCCTTGATGCGACCCTGGGGGCTGGTTAGAATGACTAAAACCAATTTTGGCACTAGATCACCTTGTGGTTGAGGTGAACTGGGGATCTTGTTTTGAAGAGGTTGGAGCCACTCACCTTAGGTGCTTAAGGAGAGAGAGAGAGAGAGAGAGAGAGAGAGAGAGAGAGAGAGAGAGAGAGAGACCTTTGACCTCCCCAACCCTGAGACTTTGGAAGCTCCTAGTTGGTCACACACACAGTCACAACCATCTTGGCAGCCTGAACCCCCTCCCCCACATCCGTGGAAATTCCTAGAAGTGGAAAGGCAAACTCAGCCCCAGGATGTTGGCAGGATCCGGTGTGTTACTAAAAATGGGGCTTCATGGATGGAGACTTGAGAGCCTTAAGAGAGAGAGAGAGAGATGAAGAGAGAGAGAGAGAGAGAGAGAGAGAGAGAGAGAGAGAGAGAGAGAGAGAGAGACTCCAGAAACTTCAGTCGTTCTGAAGTCGTTGATTAGCAAAGACTGAAACGGGGTCACAGGAACGCTGCTTCCCACCGAGGGAGAAGCGGATCTCTCTGAAGCCCCACTCCTCCCTCCCATGTCAGCCAAGAGTGTCCCCGAGGACAGTTAGCAAACTGTTGGAGGGGTTTGGAGTTACAAACTTCAGAACTGTCTCCTTACGCCCCAGCCCACCTTCGCAGAAATTCCAAGCTCCCCGTCTCCTGGCTAACTGGGTCCTTTCCCAAACACTAAATAACGGGACGAGGGGAGAAGTCCGTTTCTCTTCCAAAACGCAGAGACGGAAGGCTGGATGACTGTGTCCCCAGCCTGGTTCGTCTCCAGCCCCCTGGCTGATACCTACTGTGGGCCTGACTGAACACGAGTAAGACAGCGGTCGTCTGTGACAACCTCCCTTATTCCCCCGCCACGTTTCTCTCGGCCAAAACTGTATTTCCCAGTACCTCTCTCGGGGTTCCAAACGAGGAGCAGAGCGGTTGGATCATTTGATTAGCTCTTTCCTAGAACAGGGAGCCTCCCAGCTCTGTTTTCTTCCCAGGGAGTGCAGGACAAGGCCCAAGAATGGGGCGCCTTATGGGGACGCTCCCGAAAGAGAAACAGCCCAGAGCTGGCCTGGATTTGCTACATGTGTCCGCCTGGCTATAGCAGGTAGAGACCTGCCAACCCTTTCTCTCGGGTGTACATCCTCCCCAGGAACACAGCTTCCGGGTGGTCTTTCTGCACCTCTTCTTGGGAGGAGGAAACTCCCAAGATCACCTGCTTGAGTTTTCCTCCTCATTTGTGGTTTTCAAGTGCATAACGTGGCAAGGACTTGGAAGCTGCAGGCCGGCAGTACCAGCTGTTTTCACATTGTTGCACAATGACTTCTAGGTCTTTTTTTTTTTTTTTTAAATCTTGCAGAACTACAGCTCTACACACATAGAATTTCTACACATAGAACAAAAACTTCCCATGACGGCCCCACCCTCAGCCCTGGCCACTATTATACTCCTGTCTATGGTTTTGGCTGTTTTACATAATTCATACAGAGCTCAATTATGGCCCAGTGATAGATCTCTTGCCTACTATGTGTGAAGCCCTGGGTTTGATCCCAAACACTGGGAGAGGGAAAGTGTACGTGGCATATAATATTTCCTTCCTGTTGTGGTTTATATCACTTAGTACAATATTCTGGAAGTTCTTCTGTGTTGCAACAAGAGACAAGATGTCTTTTTAAAATGGAATAATATTTCACTGTGTGTATACATTGTGTCTCCAATGGGATTGGTGGAGGAATTCTTGGAGGTTGTCTAGTTGTTCTGGAAGTTGTTCTCAGGAAGCCTGAAAACTTGGTAACGATAGTGAATACAGACTGGAGTGACAGCATTCAGGGTCCCTTTGATTACTGCAGATCTGGAGGAATTTTACCGTTGCTCTATTGTCCTTAGGTCCGAATTCACCAATTCACAGTATCCTCTCCTCTCCATTCTTCTTGTTTGTTTTGGTTTTTGGTATTTTTGGGACAGGATCTTTCTGTATAGTTCTGACTGTCTAGCAACTCACTCTGTAGACTATGCTGGCCTCGAACTCACAGAGCTCCATCTGCCTCTGCCTCCCAACTGCTGGGATTAGAGGTGTGCACCACCACTGTCTAGCAAAACCCTCTCCGTGCTTCTAAGAGATGAAAACACAACTAATAGAAGGAACAAACTGTCACCAACACGTCACTGTGATTGAGTTTGTCAGGGACTGACCTTTGGGGAAGATGGGTAGAGCGTTGGCCGAGGACCCAAAGAGAGATATACAGAAAGAAGAGCTGGAGAAAACCAACAACTTCCATTTATTTCCTAGTTTTTCTAGAAGCAGTTCTGCAAAAATTTCAGTTGAAAGTTCATGAAAGGTTGTGTTTTATGAATTATCTACTTTAGGAAAAATGGAGTTAAATTATTCTTGATACCCAGTCTTATATACTTGTTGCGTAATACTATTTTAAGGTGTGTTACTTTTGCTTATTCTCTGGAACAGTTGTTTCATGATGCAAAGATGTATCTGGTTAAATAAAATTCACCTGCTGTCAGGAGGTTGTGCCAGCAACTAGCTGACAGGAAGCTGTAGGGAGGAGCCAGGTGGCGAAGGGTCTTTAAGGAGGGGGGAGGAGAAGCATGAGGGCTTTTGGAGAGAAGCGAGGAGGAAAGGTGAGCTGCTTGCTGTTCAGCCTCTCTGGCAGGAGCAGAATTCCACCTCAAACCTTGGCTCTTGAGTTCTTTAGAGGGACAGAGATTTAGATAACTTCCCTTCATAGCTTTGAGTTGGTGTCTGAGGGAATTCCCTCAGACTGGGGCTCTTGCGGCCTACCTGCTACAGAGCGCAGCACAGTTGCTGTTGCTGATTTGGTCAGGCAGGTCTTAAACTGCAGCAATAATATAAAAAGAGGACAACATATATTGGTACCAAGCTAGAGACTGTAGTAAGGGAAGGAGCTACTCCTAAATGTTTATCTGTCTTCTGTCCCAATTAAGTCCATGTAGATCCTATGTGACGTCATAGTGTCAGGACTAGTCCTCCTCTCCTAAGGTATGTGTGAGCTCAACTAGGGAAGAAACACATCATTATTTGGATTTGGAAATAAGATACTGAAAGGGAGTTACTCCGTTCATAAATTGTTGAGGGAATATCTGAGCACTAAAATTGTCAAGTAGATAGTCCCTGGTGTTAGTTCAGATACTTTTGGATGAAAGAAATAGGAATCGGCTTGATTAGTGGCAGCCAACTGTGTGTGGTGTAAGTTGGTATAAGGATAAGAGCATCTCATGGAGCCCAAAGCAGGAAGATGGCCCAGCCTGAAGGATTATGCTTGGGAGTGTAGCACAGATTCTAATTGGTATTAATAAAAACTCAGAGTCGGCTATCAGAGGGTGAAAGTTAGCCAATCTCTACCAAAGTTCAGACCAAAGGAGCAAGTCTGTCCTCAGACTGCCTCCTCAGACTGTGCTGAGCTCCTGTCTCCTCCTGCCCAGCCATATCCCTCCTGTCTCCATCTCCCACAGAGATCCACCTGCCTCTGCCTCCCCAGTGCTGGGATTAAAGGTGTGTGATCCCAAGTGCTGGAATCACTTTTGTGTGAGCTCAGTTTCTCTTTTAGACTGGATCAATTTCGTGTAGCCCAAGGTGGCCTTGAACTAACAGAGATCCCTCTGTCTCTCAAGTCCTGGGTGTGTGCCACCACAGCCTGGCCTCTGGTGGCTTCGCTCTGCACTCTGATCTTCAGGCAAGCTTTCTTTGTTAAAACACAAACAAAATATCACTACATGGGAGCCATGACTGAAATTTGGTAACAAATTCTGCCTCCAGTTTCCACTGCTCTTAGGCCACGTGCTCCTTCTCTCTCTCTTTCACTGGAGACAAGCTTTCTTTGACTTCTCTGGCCAAATTGCCGAATGTGACTTCCTATGGCTTCCGAAACAGTACACTGTCTTCCCAACACATGAGGATCCGCTAGCTATCAGTCTGAATTCTTTGGAAGAAACACCCAACCGGTCTCACTTGGCTCTCAGTCTACAGTGACCTCATGACTTCTGGACATAGAATCAGCACCCTGTCCTACAAAGGAGGCTGTAGCGGGGAGAGGGAGAGTCTACCTTGGGCATCAGCTATACTTTCCAAGAGAAGGGAGCATGGTCTATATCCTGAGCTACACAGCTGTCTATTCCAGAAGAGAGCAAGTCAGAATTTTCTGGGTTTACGAGTTGTAACCTGAATGTCCCTAAGTCTCCTCAGCTGAGCACACAAATAGAAGTATACTAACAGCAGCTGAACACGGGCTTGTTCATCTGCACTCGTGAGTGGTCCGCTTTAGTTGGATGTAACACTCCTTACCAAGAGCCCTAGAACCCCACTAAATGTGATGGTCTCTGACAATTTTCATAGATACACAATACACACGGAAAACTAGATTGTTGTTGTTGTTTTGTTTTTTGAGACAGGGTTTCTCTGAAGCTTTGGAGCCTGTTCTGGCACTAGCTCATGTAGACCAGGCTGGCCTCGAACTCACAGAGATCCACCTGCCTCTGCCTCCCCAGTGCTGGGATTAAAGGCATGCGCCACCACTGCCTGATGACAAAAATTAGATTCTTTTTAAGAGTGACTGTAGTAGTTTGAATGACAAATGTCCCCCACAGGCTTCTGTACTCGAACACTTGGTGCCCAGTTGGTGACACTGTTTGGGGAGATTATAGAATTTTTAGGATGTGGAGCCTTACTGGAGAGAGTACATCACTAGGGTGGGTTTTGAGAGTTTCTAGTCTCACTCATTTCCAAATCTCTCTCTCTCTCTCTCTCTCTCTCTCTCCTTCTCTCTCTCTCTCTCTCTGTCTCTCTCTCTGTCTCTCTCTCTGTCTCTCTCTCTGTCTCTCTCTCTTTCTCTCTCTCTCTTTCTCTCTCAGTGTGATGAAATGCATTCAGCCAGCTTCCTGCTCTAACCACCTGTTGCCATGCCTTCTGCGCCATTCTGGATTCACCCTCTGGAATGTAAGCAAAACAACAACAACAGAACCTCAGCTTCATGCTGGGCGGTGGTGGTGCACACCTTTAATCCCAGCACTTCGAAGGCAGAGGCAACTGGATCTCTATGAGTTCAAGGCTAGCCTGGACAGCCAGGGCTGTTACACAGAGAACCTGTCTCACCCCTCCCCCCAAAAAAACCCCCAAACCCCTCCTTCTATAAGTTGCAGTATTTTATCAGAGCAGTAGGAAAACAACTAAGGCAGTGACTGTGATTTTGCAGCTTACGCTTGTTGCCCTCAAGTAATCACTTATAATACCTGCTTTGTTTTCAAAAGGGCTCTGGTGTCTATAATGTGGTTCATGGTTTAGCTGTTCCCAAAGCACAGGTTTTACAATGTTGCCTAAGGCAAGGGGATATTTGTGAATCTTGTTTGGGATGCTCCATTCCACAACATTCTGTTCTGAAGAGAATTCTGATGATTAACTTATAAAACTAGATTAACCTAAGGGAGGAGTGGTTTTGAATTAATACAACCAAGCTAAGGAAAAGAGCTGCCTCTTCCTCTTCATCCTTCTCTTTTTGTCTGTGTCTTCCTCTGTGTTGATTTTCTTCCCCAAGACCATCTTCATGAGCCTGGAAATATGGCCATTTCTTACCAGCCCTAGATACATGTCTTAAGCTTCTCAGCAGAAGAATTCAGAACTCGTTTGTTAGGAAGCCCTAAGAGAAGAACTTGTAAACTGTGCTGCTGTGTATGCCCATCACTGGACCAACTTCAGTGGACAGGGTAGTCCACTAACATCCTAAGACAAGAAGGGGAGTGTTGATACAGGCAGAAGCCTGAGAATGCAGTTGGCCCAATATATTTCCCTTCTACAGCTAAGACTTTCTGACTGCGGCAAATCCCTACTCTCCTTACGTACATGGGCTTGATTGATTGCTGTGAGTTTGGTTGGTTGTCAGCTGTTCCCCTGACCCCCTAGCAATAAACATAGATTAAGCCTAAGCCTATTATTTCATATATTAACAAAAACAATCAGGTTTGGTGAAACAGGTACACTGCT